ATATAAATATCAATCAGTTCATAAATGGATAAAAATTATTGGTGTGAATAAATGAATGCAACTCTTCTCTACCCTTAACGCCTTACTTCACCCCCCCCCCCCCACTGCCTCCACCCACCAACTTACTTACAGCCCAGGAGATTGCCAATTATCTCAAAATCAAGATTGACACAATTTCTGCTGAGATATCTAGCGTCCAGCCTTCTCCACCAACTAACATACCAGGTCTAACTAGCAGTCAATACTTTCCTCCTTCAACCCTGTTACCACTGAAGAAGTTGCCAAACTCCTTACCAAGGCCCACCTCACCACCTGTCTCCTAGACCCTGTCCTCTCACAATTACTATGGCCCTCTTCCTGCTCTATCCTAAACTCTCAAACCCACATCTGCAATCTCTCCCTGTCCACCGGCACTTTTCCCTCCTCAGACATGCACTGGTTACCACCATACTTAAAAAATCTTCACTAGACCCCACCTGTTTGAATTTGCCTCCAAACTTCTTGAACATCTTGTCCACAACTGTATGAGTTGCTACCTCACTGACAACAACCTTCTTGATCCTCTACATTCTGGTTTCCATCCACAACATTCCATCGAAACTGGCCTACTAAAACTAACTAACGACCTACTAACTGCTAACAAAAAAAGGCCATTACTTCATACTCATACTCTTAGACCTTTCTGCTGTCTTTGACACAGTTGACCAACCACTCCTCCTCAATAAATTCCACTCCCTTGACCTCCGAAAATCTGCTCTTTCCTGGTTCAACTCTTATCTATCTTAGCGCACCTTCAGTGTCACATACAACACCATCTCCTCAGCTCCTCTTACTCTTTCTGTTGCGGTACCCAAGGCTCCGTCCTTGGGCCCCTCCTATCCTATCTCTGCACCCCTTCCCTTGGCCAATTGATAACCTTCCATGGCTTCCAATACCACCTCTACAAAGGATGATACTCAAATCTATCTCTCTTCTCCCCAGCACACACCCTCAGTCTCCTCACGTATCACAAGTTTACTGAGTGACATATCAGTATGGATGAACCCTCTGCACACTGCTATAAACCCTTTCCAGCAAACTTTGCATATTGCAATACATGTCAACTACATCAAAGTAATCCCTTTTGGCCAGTCCTTCTCTGCTCTGCCAATGGAAATGCTACTGTGGACACAATGCCAACCTGGGGCAAACAAACAACCATTTAGCACCTGAAAGATAAATGCATGTGCAAGCTATTTGGATTTGACCACAGGTATATCTTGTTCCTGTTGCATAGCAGGTCAGCAGCCAAACCTAAACCTAGTAGCTCTCCCCCACTTTGTATTTGTTTGCCCCATATTGGCATTGTGTCCAAAGTAGCATTTGCGTTGACAGAGCAGAGTAGGACTGGTCAAACTGGATTACTTTGACACTGTTGGCCAGCCTAAACAGGTATTGCAATATGTGTGAACTAAAAATCCCTATTTATTATTGCACAGTTTGCTGGAAAAGGTGTAGAGGGTGTGCAGAGGGTTCCTTCAGAATTTCTAGCATTTATATGTGGTTACACCCCTTTAGCACCTGATAGATAAATGCATGTACTAGCTATTGGGATTTGAGAACAGGTATATCTTTTTTGCTCATATCAGTATGGATGTCACACCACTTCCTCAAGCTCAGTCTTTTCTAAAGCCGAGCTTGTAATATTTCCTCCTCCGAGATCCCCCCCCCCCCTTCATGTCTTTACCATTGAGATCAAGAGCATAACCATTGACCCTTCTGCACATGCCAGGGTGCCTGATGTAATCCTAGACTCTGACCTCTCCTTCAGGCCCCCACATCCAATCACTGCCAACATTTTTCTGCCTTAACCTCCACAACAATTCCAGAGTTTGCCCCTTTCTGACCAAGAAAACCACAAAACAACTTTTTCACTCCTTGGTTATATCCCACCTTGACTACTTCAACTCCCTCCTCTCCTGCCTACCTTTACACAGGCTATCCCCCCCTTCAGTCTATTATAAATGCTGCTGCTAGACATCTTACTAACCGACCATCCTCTCTGCCAGTCCCTTCCCTGGCTTCCACTACCCCAATGCATAAAATTCAAAATACTAACCACAATGTACATAAGCCATCCACAACACTGCCTCCAGCTACATCACTAACCTCATCTGCAGATATCACCCAACTCGTCTGCTCCAGTCCTCCCAAGAGATCTTGCTCTCTAACTCCTTTGTTACCTCTTCCAATGCTCATCTGCAGGACTTTTCTAGAACCTCTCCCATCCTCTAGAACTCCCTACCCTGATATATCCTGTCAGCTCATATCCTGTCCACCTTTGTGTGATCCTAAATATTTAGATAGATATTTAGATCCTAGATATTTAGGGAAGCCTACCCCATCTCCACCTAAGAACTGTACTTGAGTCACCTCCATCAGATCATCCCCTGCGGCTTTTACCTTTTGTACCACCTCCCTCTCCCTTTAGATTGTAAGCTCCATGAGCAGGCCCTCCTATTCCTTCTGTATTGAACTGCATTGTAATTGTACTGTCCCCCATTATGCTGAAAAGCACTGCACAAACTGTTGGCACTATATAAATCCTGTATTATAAAAAGTGATATCAATTAATGTAATTAAAGAATCAAATAAAAAAACATTCCAGTGAAAAATTAAATGAAAAATACCAATCAATGAACATGCAAAAATACAGTATCTATCTATCTATCTATCTATCTATCTATCTATCTATCTATCTATCTATCTATATATATAAGTTCATCAGTGAAAGTTCATCAAAAGCAGGGGTGGACTGACCATTTGGAAAACTCAGGCACTGCCTGAGGGCCCGGGGTCAGTAGGGGGCCCCATGAGATGCCCCTGGTACCTTTTTCATAGGCATTTTTGAGTTTGGGCACAGGGGCCCCATGATCCCCTATTCCCCGGGGCCCCATGAGTTGTCAGTCTGCCCCTGATCAAAATTTTATAAAAAAAAAAAAGTCCACCAACAAAAGTGTCTCTCCTGCAATTAAAATGTTTCACAGTAAGAGAAAAAATAACAGCTGTAGATTGTGTAGCAAACTCTTCACAATAACACCACTGTGTACTAACCACCAGAGAATCATCACTGCTGCTTACCAGACAGTTAGACCTCATATGCTAGGAGGTCTAACAACGCTTGTGGGAAAAATTGGGATGGATGGATGATAAAAGCTCAACCTCCCAGCCTCTCAAGCCAACCTGTCAGCCCCTTCCACAGCTACGGTCAGGTCACGCCAGGAACACCTAAGCAGTCAGGCAATCACATACTATATATCATATAAATGAGGAAGGAGAATGGTCCATAGTGCAATAGCCTAAAACGCCTTTAATACAAACTCAGTATCTACTTACATATAAACATTGTTTCACAAAAGTTCCATCAGTTAACCCCAGCGGGCGTGATGATGGCACCGCAGTAGATCTGCTTGGGCCCATGCAGCCAATCTTTGAATTTTTGAATTGGCAGTACTCCTTAAAGTGTTACTAAACCCACAACAGTAAAATCAGTCTAAAGATAAAATAATGAAAGTGGCGCTCAAAAAAATATAACTGAAAGCAGTAAAAAGTCAATAAAATATCCACGGTGTTTTCTGAAATGATGCGAACTTTCAGAGCTTTTACTGCCTCAAATAATAAAAATGCGCACTCACCAGAGACGCATAGGTTATGCGCATATAAGAATCATCATTCCAGATGTCAGGTACATCAAAGACCAGATGGTGGACATCCCTCTCATGGTGGGTCATCACAGACTCCAAATCAAATCCAGAGGTCCCCTTAGGGTCAGTCAGGTACTCCACACTAATCTCTTCTCTGGGTAGTATAAGCACTCTCTCTGTGGGGGTAATAGCTTCACATAGGAGCCCCAGAAAACTGTGACAGCCTCCCCTCTGATGATGTGCCTGTAGCACGAAAGGCCTAAGGAGGAGCTGTGCAGAGCGTGACGTCATCTCACCGTCGGAGCCACGAGGAGGCCCGGCGGCCATCTTTACTGGGGTCAGTACTGCTACTTCTCTTTCTTTTTAATGATTTTGAATGTGCATACTGCCCTGTTTTATACTAGTATCAATAAATTGTGTCTGGGAAATACTACACTATCTCTGGCATCTGTTTTCTGGGGCTCCTATGTGGAGCTATTACCCCCAAAGAGAGAGTGCTTATACTACCCAGAGAAGAGATTAGTGTGGAGTACCTGACTGACCCTAAGGGGACCTCTGGATTTGATTTGGAGTCTGTGATGACCCACCATGAGAGGGATGTCCACCATCTGGTCTTTGATGTACCTGACATCTGGAATGATGATTCTTATATGCACATAACCTATGCGTCTCTGGTGAGTGCGCATTTCTATTATTTGAGGCAGTAAAAGCTCTGGAAGTTCGCATCATTTCAGAAAACACCGTGGATATTTTATTGACTTTTTACTGCTTTCAGTTATATTTTTTTTGAGCGCTGCACTTTTATTATTTTATGTTTATATTGATATTCTAGAGGTATTGTGGTTACCTGGAGTGTTCTAGCTGCTGTATACATATAAGAGCGCTCACCACAGTTTGTTTTAAAATCAGTAAAATCAGTCTGTATATGCAGTAAAGCATGCTTGTTATACTCACTGTGGAACCTAAGGGGGTAATCTTCTGCATTGTGTAAAAAGGCTGTTTGATCCTGTCTTCTCTGTCCCTCCTCTTGTTGAAATGACTACCTGATACAGCCTGAATCCGTAGTCACATGCACATGCTCAGTTTGGTGTGTATTGCTAGAGAGGTGTTTTTTTTTTCTTGGGAGAGTGCATGTGATCAGCATAGAGCAATTATTTTAGTAAATATAAACTGCTTTTAGTTGTCCCCCTGACTTTTATGGTAATACAGTTGTATCTGGACCTCTTACCAGTGGTTTGGCACTTCAACTACTTTTTGGATTGTTCCCTTAATTTTATTGGAATAAAGTTGTATCACGAGCTCTTAGTAGTGGTATGGTGCTTTAACTACTTTTTGGATTGTCCTCATGACTTTTATTAGAATAAAGTTGTATCTGGACCTCTTAGCATTGATGTGGCACTTCAAATACTTTTTTAGTTGTCCCCCTGAGCTTTATTGGAATAAAGTTGTATCTGGACCTCTTAAAGTGTCACTAAACCCAGGACCCTGCATTCACTATATCTTGGTCTCCCGGACCCTGCATTCACTATATCTGCTCTCCCCAGTCCCTGCATTCACTATATCCAGTCTCCCCGGACCCTGCATTCACTATATCTGGTATCCCCGGACCACGCATTCACTATATCCAGTCTCCCTGGACCCTGCATTCACTATATCTGGTATCCCCGGACCCTGCATTCACTATATCCGGTCTCCCCGGACCCTGCATTCACTATATCCGGTCTCCCCGGACCCTGCATTCACTATATCTGGTCTCGCAGGACCCTGCATTCATTATATCCGGTCTCTCCGGACCCTGCATTCATTATATCTGGTCTCCCAGGACCCTGCATTCATTATATCTGGTCTCCCAGGACCCTGCATTCACTATATCTGGTCTCTCAGGACCCTGCATTCACTATGTCCGGTCTCCCACACTACACACAACATGGAAATGCAATTATTTTTGTAAATATAAACTGCTAAATACCTTTCTCATCAGCAGTTAGAGGAGTCTTGTGACTTCTATCACTGTTCAGCAGATCACTGGTAAAAAGCTTGTAGGAGGAGTTTTCTCTAGGAGGATGCAGAACCCCTGACCTCTGTCTGGATAGTGCTGATTGGACCTTTGCTGATCACATGCACTCTTCCAAGAAAAAAAAAAAACGTATCTCCACACGATATGTCTTACCAGGAGATAAGAGGGAGATGATGGAAGAAGGGGAGCATCAGAGTAGTCATCGATCAACCAGCATTTTTACACAATGCAGAGGATTAACCCCTTAGGTTCCACAGTGAGTATAACAAGCATGCTTTACTGCATATACAGACTTATTTTACTGTTGCGGGTTTAGTAACACTTTAATAGTGGCATGGCCCTTCAGTTTTCATTTTTCTTACATTGTTCCAATAGGAATACAGATAGGAATTAAACCACTTCTGTGTAGGATGGTTACCACCAAAGTGAAACTCCAATAATCAAATAAAGTATAACCCCATTTCCCTCTCTGCCACTTTCAAAGTATACAATACTTCTGGTTATATAAAAAAAAACTTAACACAACATACACTTTACTCCTGCGCTAGGAAAGGACTCAGTAGACCCAATAGGAATGTTCTGGAATTTTCTGGAATATGCACTGCTTGCTGCCCTCAACAGACCGGGGTGGTCCGAATACACTGGATACAAATGGAGAAACAGAAAAAAGGCGCACCAACCTAGTGCATTATCGTTTAAAATAATTTATTAAAGAAACAAAAATAGGTATCATACTCACAATGGACATAATAACACAGGCATGTCAAACTGAACAAGGTGTATGATCCAAACAACATCTGAGTCCATACGATGGAACCCTGGATGACCAACTTGCTAACGCATTTCGAGGACACAACCTGGCTCTGAGGAAGAGGTTGTGTCCTCGAAACGCGTTAGCCAGTTGGTCATCCAGGGCATGTCAAACTGAACAAGGTGTATGATCCAAACAACATCTGAGTCCATACGATGGAACCCTGGATGACTGGATGACCAACTGGCTAACGCGTTTTGAGGACACAACCTGGCTCTGAGGAAGAGGTTGTGTCCTCGAAACGCGTTAGCCAGTTGGTCATCCAGGGTTCCATCATATGGACTCAGATGTTGTTTGGATCATACACCTTGTTCAGTTTGACATGCCCTGGATGACCAACTCTCTAACGCGTTTTGAGGACACAACCTGGCTCTGAGGAAGAGGTTGTGTCCTCGAAATGCGTTAGCCAGTTGGTCATCCAGGGTTCCATCGTATGGACTCAGATGTTGTTTGGATCATACACCTTGTTCAGTTTGACATGCCTGTGTTATTATGTCCATTGTGAGTTTGATACCTATTTTTGTTTCTTTAATAAATTATTTTAAACGATAATGCACTAGGTCGGTGCGTCCTTTTTCTGTTTCTCCATTCGTATCCATAAAAAAAAACTTAATCTGGAATACCTTAAAATGAGTTTAGAATTGCAGCAACTTGACCATTTTGTTCTTCTTCCTCACCTCGGTCACCTCTCGGTGGGTAGGGGCAGCATTTTTCAATGTTAATCAATGTCTGTGGGTGTTACAAAGTGTGCATCATAGATGGCTTTGCCACCAGTAACTCCCATTGGCTGAATTAGTCATGCAATTAGGTGACCCCTATAGTCGGTGTAGTCTATAGAGGGGCATGAACTCAACAGGGGGGTGTTTCCAAGACAGGAAATGGCAGTGCAACACTGAATACAAAGCCTGCAGCATACTAAAGCCCATAAAGACTTTCTGAAGATTGTTGCATATGAGCAAAAAGACAGAAATGTTCAGAAAATAAAGAATGGCGATCAGTGCACACTCTTCTAGAGGAGAGGAGTTTCAAAAATAAAATTGGAGTTCCGCTATAAGTACTTAGGCTTTAGCTATAAGTAGTACAGGCAGACAGCTTCTCTGAAAAAAATGCAACATGGAGGAGATAAACCCATGAAAGAATGACAAGATTGTATCATAACACCAAACAATGTATATAAAAGTGCACCTATTATAGAACAGCACCATCTGCTCATCAGATGATATGGTCAGTACATAGCGGTAGGGAAGAGGGAGACCATCTGCCTTCTTATTAATTGCCGTCTGTGTTCTCATTGGGGAGATTTCCCCTCAGACATGAGACAGGTGTCACCAGGAGAGGAACTAAGGGGATGTGTCTGCAATGTGGGAGCAGATGGAAGCAAAAACCTTACAGAAGTGCTAACCCTTCATATTGTATCCAAGAAGTATGATTGAAGTTCTTCTTGTTTAAAATTTGTTTGGTTTGCACATTAACATTTGAAATTAGATCACACTGTATTTATTCATTAAAGCTGAACTCTATGCACAAAAATGTTCATTTCAATATATTCTTTAGTAGCCATAAAGGATTTAAATACACTTTTACTTGCACCAATTGCCACTGCAAACCCAAATGTTACCTTGGAAAAGTAGCAGTGACATCATCACTGTGCTTTACATAGTCTGTGCAGAGAGCAGAGCTGTGGGAGGGACTACAGGAGGGGGCGGAGACAAGACCAGTTATCCTGCACAGGAGAGAGAGCAGCAGTGACCAGTCTTTATCTTTATCAGTTGTTTACTGAGCCTTTTTTTTAAAGATTTTTAACAACAGTAGAGGAAAATTAAGCAATAGTATATGTACTGTTTGATATGCCAGTGAGGTGGTGACTTTCCAGTTACTTCAAGGTTGAGCTTGAAGGACATACAGTGAAGGAAATAAGTATTTGATCCCCTGCTGATTTTGAATGTTTGCACCCTCACAAAGAAATGATCAGAAATCGAATGTTCGGTGTATTGTAACACTGAGAGACAGAATAGCAACAAAAAATTCAAAAGAAATGCATGTCTAACAAATGATGCACTGATTTGCATGTTCATGAGGGAAATAAGTATTTGATCCCCTTCACAAAACACGACTTAGTACTTGGTGGAAAATCCCTTGTTAGCAATCACAGAGGTCAGACGTTTCCTGTAATTGACCACCAGGTTTGCACACATCTCAGGAGGGATTTGGCCCACTCTTCTTGGCAGATCCTCGCCAAGTCATTAAGGTTTGGTGGTTGACATTTGACAACTTGAACTTTCAGCTCCCTCCACAGATTTTTAATCTGATTAAGGTCTGGAAACTGGCTAGGCCACTCCAGGACCTTAACCTCCTTAGCGGTATTCCCGAGTGTAGCTCGGGGTAAAATGTCTATACCAAGAGCGGTAACCCCGAGCTACACTCGGGCTTACCATGCGGCGTTGCTCTGGGGGTCCCTGCAGCACTTACCTTGTCCTTTGCTCCCACGATGTGTCCCCTGCAGCGTCCCCGGCCATCTCCTCCGGCCGATGCCGGCATCTGGCTTCTGTGTTCCGGTCCCTGTGACGTTGGGACGTACGGGCGCCGGAACCGGCGGGAAATTTGAAATTTTTAAAAAATGTCATTTTTGCTGTCATTTCTGGTTCAATGCATTTCACATACATTTTGTCCCGAGTGCTTTGTCCTGCGTTCTGCCTGCATTTTGAATGTTCTTTCTGCCTGGAAACTTAGAAAAGTCCATGGCGTCCAAAAAGCATCCCTTTAGGTCAAAAGCGGTTTTAGAACAGCGATAGTAAATCAGAACCACTTGCAGAATTGAGTGATAATGATTCGTGGGGAAATTCGTCATCAGACACTGAAAACGATTTTGCGACTTTGCTCAGCGATGTGCGAATTTGCCTCTGTATTTCAAATTTCAGTGTGTTTTTGGTTTGATTATATTATTGAATTAAATTTATTATTATTATAATATTATTTTTTATGATTATTTATTAAATTATAATTTATGATTTTGTGTTTCAAATTTTATCCTACCCGGGATGTTTACTAGACTCTTGTTCTGACAGATTTCAGTGAGTTATTCCTAAAAATTACAGCCTACAATAAAAAACGACATATTTCCATGCAAAAAAATGGTACCGCTTTCAGCACAAAAAATCGGAAAGAATCATACCGCCAGGATGTGCTTCTTCTTGAGCAACTCCTTTGTTTCCTTGGCTGCGTGTTTTGGGTGATTGTCATCAGAAATCAGCAGGGGATCAAATACGCATTTCCTTTACTGTATAGTAACATAGTTGCATAGTTATATCATTAATCTGGTTGAAAAAAGACACAAATCCATCCAGTTCAACAGTGAAAACACACACACCACACACACAAAACCCCCATATACACTATCCTATACCCAAGGTTGATCCAGAGGAAGGAAAAAAAAAAACAATAGAGTTGGCTTGTGTGATTTCTCACTGTTGCAAGTAGATTTCACTTGTATCACTGGTATATAGTATGAGATTTCACAAAGTTATGAATATTTATATTTTTCTTCAGCCAATCCAGTAGGAGGTTTATGGTGCTGGTGCATGCTGGGGGAGGATATAAATATTTGGGACAGTCCATCTGCTCTCTCTTTCCATAGGTTGAAGTCTGAGAAGGTGCTTCTGGATGGAGCTCTGCTGTTAGGCCCAGTAATCTGTTTTGGGACTAAAGTGTGCTGACGTTGTCCTGAAGCTGTCCAGCCTGGTCTGGAGGAAGCTGTGCCAGGAAGGAGACCCAGGGGAGGACCCCTGCTGGAGACAGCCAGGTAGAAGGCTGGTCTCTCAGAAGGGCCTGGTGACTCACTTGGAGGAAGCACATCTCTTTAACTGTTCTGCAATAAATTTTTAAAAAGAC